GAAAAAGAAAAGAAACAAGAAGAAAGATTACAGCATTTGTTGGAGGAAAAAGACAAGAAACAAGAAGAACAAAAAATAAACAAGAAGAAAGACTAGCAGTGGCAACTGGAACAAGAAAGGAACAAAAAGTACAAATGGAAAACATTAGTATATTTAAAAGCGAATTAAATACATTAAAAGATGATTTACTGTCTTTTACACACGGAGGATATATTACCCATCGACTAAATCAGCCCCAGCCAATGGCAAGCCCCTTCCACACTCTGCAGCTAAACCCTAATGCAGACATCTGCAGTCCTGTTAGAAGTCATCACATTCCAGATATGAATGTCATCAATAGGGGTGATCTAGTATGAAGGAAGCCACAGGAATACGATGGGAAGGCACTGTGGGAAGCATATAGAGCACAAAGATGAATGGATTGACAGAGGAGCAGAAAGCAGTATATCTGGCAATGAGCCTGAAGGGACAACCACTGGAAATACTTGGACAGTTGTCAGCAGATGATAGGCACAACTATAGAGCACTGGTAGCTGTTCTAGAACTCAGGTATGGAACTCAAAATCAGTCTCAAGTCTACAGGGCTAGGTTTAGGATGAGAGTCCATGCTAAAGGGGACAGCCTGCAAGAGCTGGCACAGGATTTGGAAAGTATGGCACACAAGGCCTACCCAATTGCACCACCTGATGTCCTCAAGCTGTTGTTAAGGGATCAGTTTGTAGATGCCTTGGACAGTCCACAACTGAAGATACAAGTAAAGCAAGCACACCTCTCTATTATGCAGGATGCAATGGCCAGAGCTCTTGAATTCGAATCCTACATTAATTCCAGCACTGAGGTACCAAAGTTGGTACAGTCATCAAAATTCAAGGCCAGAAAAGGGCAGCTTTCAGAAAAGTTTGAGGGACTTTGCAGGCACTGTAACAAACCTGGGCACAAGAGAGCTCAATGCCGACAACTTCAACACAGGAAAGATGCCACAGCAGGAAAAGCTACTACCCAGAAAAGTTGTTGGAATGGTGGAGATCAAAGACACATGAATAGCCAGTGTAAGAATAATACTACCAATAAGTCAGCCTCGAGGAAACCAATACATAATTGGCCAATACCAGACAATGTGGGAGAGTTAAGAAGTTTCTTAGGACAACTAGCACATTGGATCGAGAAATTAGACCAGTATAATTATGATATTGAATACAGACAAGGAAAATCTCACGGAAATGTTGGTGGACTGAGCTGAAGACCCTGCAAAAATGACTGCAGACATTGCT